GTCAGATGAATACATATCGATTAACTGTGAATTTACACAGTGGTTTTTTAAGCTTGAATCATAAGTATATTAACTTTTCTGTGCTCTTATTTTATTTATTAATATTAATATATAATATATAAATGTATGTTTAACTTTCAGAAACATYCCTAAGCCAAACAAAAAAAAACCTAACATAATTACTTTTTTTTATATATAAAAGGAGTAAACGCGTTTTGTTGGGATTTCACTTAAACCGATTAACAATACAACGATTTATTACTAAAAATAAACTGGCTATGTTCTGTGTTTTATGATGCACTGAGAACAAAGCGAATGGCTTAGTGGCGTAATGGTCAACTATGAGCCTGCAACTTTAGTCGATCATCAATTCAAAGTGAACGGAACCTTCGCGGTTTTGCAAGCTGCGTTTGTAAAATATGTTCTTGGCCCAGGCACGGCATTCCACGTTGATCAATGTGTGTCCTGCAATGAACCAAACAAAAGATACCGGCTAATTAGTTGTAAATATCATAATATGTTGGGCTTTGCGTTTGTTAAAAGTAATTTTCACTGTATAAATAAACGCATCCTTTCAATAGTAAAAGTATATATATATATATATATATTAAACTATGTATAGTTTAAACATTATACACATATAAGTTTAGGTGTCTATTCAACTCATCTAAGAAGAAATGTTTGGAAATAGCTAAATTAATATTATTGAATAAAAATATGATATATATGCTCTCACTTTTTGGATTTAGGAAATGTATGGCGATTAATGGGCTAAGATAGTCAGCCTTGTTTCTGTAAGGGTAATAGTAGCCAGGAAATCCGTTCTGTGGATAAAAATTTAATGATCCAATACTATCTTTGTCTGCTGGCGCTTCTCCGTCGCAGGTAACCCAAATTGTGAATAACTATAAATGTAAACATGAAAAATAATTGATATTATAGATATCGGTTAAGTTGCATCGGAAATTATTCTGAAACAATTTACCTCATGTTTATTTTTTTGTGCGATTGTTTTTTTAAGTTCTTGTGGCATATCAGCTGGAATGTCTGTCGTGTTTACATAGAATTCTGGTTCCCAGTCGAAAATCTACACAATATTTAAACCATCRAATAATAAACTACGTACAATATAATCAACTATAATGATAATTTTTGTCTTTGCATGGTGGTTGATTTTATGTTTACATTTTTAATATTTTTCAATGCTATAATGCAAAGTTTTTTCTTAAAACCACATGTATAGTCTCATAATACAACATTTTTAAAAATAATACGTAAATTCGAAATTATTTTTAATATATTAATTTGTATGTGGGTATACAAACCTTATTGAGCTTAATGAAAACGCAGGGCTGAGCTTTATGATATTGATATTTAAATTCAGATGAACATGGTCCCATATTGTCCAGACTGACCTCACAAACCTTGTCCTTTTGTGGTGGAATATTGTAATCACAYTTCTGTTGGTTATTACCTTTGTCTGGCAATAGTGTCTTGTTCTTGTACACTGAAAACATTTCAAAACACTTAGCTTATAATTTCTGGATTATCTAAAAGCTATAAAAGCAATCTCCATAGAAGRAGTCAACATATGTGGGAATGTTATACGTCTTCATCTCCTCAACACTATATAAAAAATCAATTTGCTGCAAATTCATTGAAATTACACATAGACAAAATTGATAAAATGATGGGTAATTTGGTAAATTYGTAAGTGAATAATATTATATTCTTTAAAAAAAAAAATTTGCTGCTTTAATCACATAACAACAATTTGACAAAATTAAATCTTAGTTAAGTAGGTACTAATTTAATTATTTTTATAGTATATAGGTCAGTACGTTCAATTTTACCTGGATTAGACATTTTAGTTCAACCTATAGGATAAAATAATAACTGACTCTATCTATAATTTTCATAAAATATRTGTTCATTTTTTTATTTACTTACCAGCCAGAAACTTGTCTAATTCATTAGTCCAAGCCTCCACATTAGTCGCATTATCCGCCGCGTAGTAAATTAGTGATCCGTCTTCGACGTTCGGAGACATGGGTCTAAATCCTAATCCTATAAAACACATTTAAAATATTATAATATTAAATCRTAGATAACTAGATGTATTAAATGCTTGTATATAATGTTCATATAGGTAAAATCGAATAATTTATCAAAGACGAAATTAAAAGCATAGTATATTGGTACATCCTACTTCACTATATCGTTCTCACTCTTCATATTGGATAGATTCTATCAATTAGTAGRTAATTGTTATGTATTGAGGAATGTTTTTGAAAATGTATTTGAAACATAATTATATCTATTTAGAAACTKTGCTTATTKTAGTAAAACACTAAAACCCATCCATAGATTTAATTAATAATTATAATGCAATATCTACACTTAGCTATAAATAGATTGTATCCTCACGAAACTATGAATATAGGCAAACATCACAAAATGCATTAAAATAATTCGATAATTCTTCGAGTACAACATTATTTAATGGAACAAAATAATTATTGAGTTAACGTACCAGGGTTTGTGCCGATTATCGAGCTGGTCAATGTAAAATGAGGCGTATGGTCATTCAGCGTGGATAATAGCACTTTCATACAGATTGCGAACATACATGCCAAGCTTGAATAAAACACAGCATAGAAGAGCAAAATTCCTCCTGAAAAAATGTTAAAAATAACAATTATTAATATTTTTCTGTTAAAAATGTAATTTATCAATTTATGTACTTATTATGTATAATTGTATCCATAAAAAATGCTAAATGTCAATGTAATATG